CTCTTTTGCATATAAAACTTTACTCTGCCTACGCTTCATGTGAAAAGCCTCATTGCACACGCAACACTCGTAATTTGCGTAGCATTCGCCAGAGGGATAGGTCATGAACTGAGGTCCACTTTCGCCTCAAGATAACTTTCATTGTTTCATTCGTTCCTGGAAATTAATTTTTTTATTTCTAATCCGAAATATCTTTACGGGAGGATAATAATTTTTATATCATTTTTTTTTCTCCCCCTCTAATTTTCAATTCCAATATTAGTGAAAGTGATATTGTACTATTTTTGTATACAGCATCCTCTTTGTTTATTTCCCATTCTTCTCATCTTGTTGAAAACGACCCAGTGAGAGAAGGCATTCCAAGCGTTAGTTTGATGGGTCCGTTCGCTCGGGCCCCGGCACTTTTTTACACAACTTTTTCCATAGCGGTTCATCGCAAGATCGTTCGCTTAGCTACCGGATCGTCACAGTTTAACTCTTTGTAATATTTCTCTTCGTAGCGAAACGCGCGCGTCCCACCCAAAAGACCCCCATCTCGCACTCCTCCACCTTCTCATTTTCTGCATGTATATATATATATACCTCATGGTGTGAGCCAGTAAAGAATGCGCGTGTAGCCAGCGCATACCGAAGAATCGCAGAACATTTTGACGACCCCATAAAATCCGAATGGATGGACGAACCACCTCTTGACGCGGTTCTCTCCTCGTCTTTTCTGTTTTTTTTTTGTACCTTAACATTTTCTCTCCTTCTCTTTCCCATCAGTGTATACAACATGCATTTCTTGGGCTCTGCAAGGATCGCACACAAAGCAGGTCCCGACCCGCTGGCTGGACCAAAATACCGACCGCAATGTTGTTCTCAATATGTGTATGGATGCAAAAAAAAAATCGAGGAAATTCAAAATCTTCGTGATTAATTTTGAAAAATTTAATAGAGAATCACAGAAAATTTATAAGGTATTAAAATAAGCTGCAACGCTTATTATTTTAATCCAATTTTGCTTATTTTAATATACCAAAATGGATTATAAAATAAGCAAAATTGGATTAAAATAATAAGCGTTGCAGGGTGTCGATTATGTAATTTGATTTGACGTCAAAATCAAATTTATTTTAACGTCAATGTTAAATTTAATTCAACAAATTCATTGTTTTATTTAACTTAGACGTTAAATTAAAATTTAATTTTTTATTTCAATTTAACGTCGCATTCAAATTTATTTTTTGATAGCAATTTGATGTATTGCAAGCAAAAAATAAATTTGACGTCAAAGTCAAATCAAATTACATAATCCACTCCCAGCTTATTTTAATGCCTTTTAATTTTCTGTGATAACAAAATTTTTTTTGTAAACGAACACAATTTTTGAAAAAATTCTATTAACAATTTCCTTAAATCCTCATGCAGAAATTTTGAAAGGGCTCTGACAGGGCCCAGGTCGGGAAGCTATAAATTCGCATGAAACAAGGGAACCCGATCGGGGCCACAGAAGAAGCCCTATTTCAGCCCGGTTAAAACCGTGGCCCCACCAGGGCCCCATTTGGCCCCGGTTCCCTTTTTCAACCAGGTCAGGGCCAGGTTGGCGAAGTTCTGCACCCTTTTTTCTAAACACTCAGTATAATCATAAATAGCTATCCAGAAGTTTTTGAAAATTATAATAAAAAAAAAAAAACATTTTAAAAAATATATCGTGAGAAAAAGACGAATTTCAAAAAAAAAATAATTTTCTCAGAAAATTCTGGATCATTAAAAATTTCCCTATATATGACAATATATTTTCTCTCCTTTTTTTTTCGAAAATACTCCGCGGAACTTTATCCTTTTTCCATGAATTCCAATTAAACGTGTTATTCTTTAAATTTTCAGTATATATGTAGAGAAAGAGAGTCTTTTTTTTTGTAAGGATGATACTTTTAACAATTGTGAAACGAGCTCAAATTTGAAATAACCTTTGAAACCGTCAATCGCTAATAAAGTTCCTAACATAATCATTGCCGACAAAGGTTTTTTTTTTACTTCTTCTTCTTCTTCACTGTGTCGAGAATATATCCTCCCACAGAGAGACAATGAACGCGCGGCTTCTTGGACCGAGAGAAAAAGATCCGTAACGTTTTTAAAGGGACTTTACAAGTTTCCCTTTCGAATGATGCGAAGAGTGAGAGAGAGAGAGAGAGGGAGAGACACTATACACACACCTGGTCGAAGGCCATTCGGGTGTTATACGAATTCACCGAAAGTGTACCGAAACTGTCCGAATGAGCACACGAGATATATTCTTAAGACGAAAAACCATGTGTATGGCCATTCACATATACATATATATATATATATAGTCAACAACCCCTCTCTTTCCGCCCTTCGAATTCAGGAACCGGTCAGTGGTCCATCCCTTTTCAAACAGGAACTAACCTTGCTCCACCAGTGTGTATTTATATTTCAAATAGACCACCTAATACGATATTATATTCCTTTCCCTTTTTTTATTTAACAATAATATTTATAATCTAATTATTGTTTAATCTATTATTTACATATTTTTTCAACTTTTTTTTACTAATTATTTTTTGTGACTATTATCAAATAAATATTTCCTTGAACAAAATAATTTTTGAGTCAATTAAATTTTATTTTATTTATTATTTATATTATTTAATTGTTAGTTTTTCGTTAATAAGAGTATTTTTGCCTATTTATATTACCCGTGCGGAAATTTTGAAAGGGCCCTGGCAGGGCCCACGGTGGGGAGCTTCAAAATCGCATGAAACAGGGAACCCGATCGAGGCGACAGAAAAAGCTCTATTTCAGTCCGATTAAAATCGATAAAAACCGGGGCCCGACCAGGGCCTGGTTTGGCCCCGGTCGGGTTCCCTGTTTCAACCAGGTCAGGGCCAGGTTGGCGAATTTCTGCACGGGTAGTTACTGTTACAATTTAGTTAGTCAGCCTAACAATTAATAAGGTAACTAACTAATAAATAGTTATATTCCAATAAACTAATTAGTTAATCCAACTAATAAAATAGTTATGTTAACAAAAAAAGTAGTAATCACAACTAATAATTTAGCAGTAGTACAATTTACTGACTAAAAATGCGGTCATTTTAAAAATGGTAATACCAACCAATCTTTTCAAATACGCAAATTATTTGATACAAAAAATTATTTATTTCGCAGTAGTGTAAAAGATTCTTTGAATCAAATAATTTTTTTTAGTGATATGTACCTAGTTTAGTATATAGTAAAATTTCACTAATAATTCACATAGATAGCTAAACCACTGATTCTAATTAGCATATATTCGCTAATAAATTAGTGAAATTTTCTTAGTTTAATATAGTAAAATTTCACAGCGTATATATTAATTAAAATTAGTCGTATTTTTATCGCTATTTCAGAGATTTAGAGAGGATAATTTCTAAAGCATTAAATTTTCTAAAGTTAAAAGGAACATTTCTAATGTATTTAAAATTTCGAATTTTTTGTCATTTGAATAATCCGAGAGGCTTTATTTAAAGTATCTTTAAATTTATTCCCGCAAGGAGAAATTGTTTCGAAATATGTAAAATACGATGAGAGAGACGAATAAGGTTTAGGGCTGGACTTTGGTCGATGTTAACAAGAGGGATGTATTTTTAGGCTCTCAAGGGTCACATAATCAAACAGCGAGGTAGACTTTGGTATTCCACGAATAAGTTGGTTTCCAATCTTACTGGATCTTTTAGAGGAGCGCAACGCTGAAAAGAGGGTGTAGGGAAGCGAAGCTTATTAAAAAAGGACTCGAGGCAGATCGCGATTGGCCGAGGCTCTCTCCGAGTGAGAGAAAGGGCACAAGGGGGTGGTGAAGGAGGAGGAGGGGGTGAAGTTGGCGGAGGGTAATGGATGGAAGGGGAGGAGGAGAGAAAAAGAGAGAGAGAGAGGAACTGTATAAAGTCCAAAGTATATATGCGCATACAAGGGCGCACGCGTACGTTAGTTGGAGGAGAGAAGGGTGCTCCCTTGTAGACATTCGTGGAATGTAAATGGCGGCATTTACCTCTCGAAACGTTGTGAATTCCTTCTCGCAGATCTTTTGCTAGAGACTCCTCTTCTCCTACGCTCATCCACAAAGCTGCAATTTGCAGACATAAAACGGCCACTGCTTACCGAAAGGTCTCATTACTTTTCAAGCAGATTCACGTACAAATGTCATTTACAGACATTGACAAACGAAAATAATTTCTATATTTGTATTAAATTGCGAAAAAAAAATTGTCAATCTGTAAAAACAGATTTTTAAGCCTTTTTTTTTACTGAACATATGTCAACAATCAGCCTTCGATAAAATGCACTTCCGATGCGACGGTAAACTTTCCCTGAAATATTGACAGGGGGGAAAGGAAAAAGAAACCCCTGGACCACGTCTCTCTGACATTGTATCCGCTTTAAAAAGCAGAAACACTTTTGACGTCTCGGGATGAATAAAAAGTGCCTCTCCATCAAAAAAATGAGAGAAAAAAAAGCTAGATCGTTGCCCTGACCTCTAGAAACATTCAAGAGTCGCGGTTTTCTATCTTCTCTCGGGGATGTCTAGCGCTTGCCGGAAATCCTGGATCTTCGATCGGAGTTGGACGGGTAGGTCGACGATACGTCCGGCGGGTATGATGCGGGCGAGAGAGGAAAGATTACCGGAAAGATATCCGGAAAGTTCCTACCGGCGCTGTGTCTCAAGTTGTGTACCCCTACCTGTGTTTCCTTGGTAAGACGAGGAGAGAAAGAGAGAGAGAGAGAGAAAATCGCGTACTTTGAGCTTTCGAGTATGGTGGGAGGTGGAGCTCACTTACCTCTCCTTCGAAAGCTTTGGAGCAGCGCGAGACGTACACTTGAATAGACCACGCCCACAGAAGGCTGAAATGTCCCGCCTATATTGGCCCCCACTCTTGTGACTGCGCCGCTCTACCGGTTGTAGTATTGATAGTGGGGGAAGTATCAGGAGGGGTGAAAGCCTGTCCGCGGAGGGGCGGGGAGCGAACAGTTCGGCAGCGCGACCCGACGTGGGCACTTCGCTGTCCGGCCTTTCTTCATTAAAATATTATCCGTACCCCGACGTATTCGTGGCCCGTGGATGAGAGTACCGCGCACCCTTATTAAACCAATATCGCGGTTAAACTAGCTCGTCAGAAGCAATAATCCGCGAACGTGGCAACGAATCAAGAAGAAAGTGCCAGGTATTTTACCAGTGACCCGAATTTTTCTAGTGAGTGTGTGACTTTTGACCTCTTGTGATATATATATACACATATATATATCCATTGGTCAAGAAGAATTCGCGGTGTGACTTCCTATATATATATATACATATTCGTTTTAACTCGGAGCACCAAGTGCGCGAGTTCCTTTATCTGACGCTGTGAAATTAATTTATATATTGGATGATCTCTTTCTCTCTATATGATATCACGGATTTCATCGTGATTTATAATTAAGTGCCAGGACGTGTTCGAAGGTGTACATACAAGAACACCGTCTGTTAGCGGTTTCACAGTGCCAATATAAAGCAAGGGGTCATGCCCATCTATAAATATTTGCTTCCTTACCACCTTATCTAAGGTCGAGGTCAGTGCGAAAACCCTGGGTAATCAAACCCAAGAGTAGACGTGCAGTACAGTGTTTCAAAAAATACAGTGCATTCCTGCAACCAGGAAAAGTGGACGCTCCGGGATATGAACCCAGGTATGTGTCACTTGGTGAAAAAAAAAAAAAAATTAGTGGTTAGTGAGTGTAATTAGGATTAAGTGCTGCGAGGAAAATTTAACACGGAATCGTGTGTCTAATAAATATTGAATAATTGTTCTCCAAAAGAAGGAAATATACCCGAAATTGGATCCAAGGATTTTTTCGAATGATAATTCGGAAAATTTTAGGATATTGTTTTCATCTTAATTTATCATCTATATGATCAATCAGATCTTTTTGGAAATGTGTCGCAATAGTGTTTCTCTTATCGCAATTCTTCCGTAATAGTGATACAATAGTGATTGGTGCTTGACTTTGAAATACTTATCTTTGGGATATTTGATAAAGAGTACCAAGGAATTTGGAATTTCTCTTATTTTTTGAAATCTGGATTCAACTCTTTTTGAAAAAAAAAAACGCTATTTCCTTTTTCTTTCATCATGACAAAAAGGATTGGCTTATTTTTTGCTGTGACGAATACAGTGAATAAGGATGAGACTATTTTGCTAAATCCCAATTTCCTAAATTGGAAATCGTCAAGCTAGATTCCCAGACTTTGCTTACCTGAAGTAGCTTGTTTGTCTCGTTTTTTTTTCTATATTCGTCATGCTTAGGTTTCAATCTGTCTCAAGTGGCCTTCGTGTATGTCTCTACTCTTTTATCGATACTATGGGTATCTACAAAATATAAGTGAAATGTCTTTAACTTCTATTACACTTCTCTTATAGTCCATAGTTTTGAATTTGTAAACCCTTTTTATTGTTAATGTCCTACTAAAATTTTCATGATGTGTGAAATGGTCCTTCAATTTTGTAAATTGCAATTTTGTCTATAGAAATTCTTCCTTTACATTTATCTCCGTTTATATATACTCTTCTTTAAGAAAAATTGGATTTTAGAATATGTATCATCAGTATTTAAAGATGCGGTATCATTTCTTCATTCATTTGAAATGAGAGGAATTATTATTTCTGAAGATATCATCTGATTTGTCAGTAAGGAAAAAATCAGAAATTTTCTGAAATGCGTGAATTTCTTTGATTAAACATTGTGGTGGATCTTGTTTGATGTTGATAGTGTTGTCATTACACGAAGTTTATGCAAGATTGTTGATTATCATCTCACAGTTATATAACATAAACATCTTCAATAGTATTTTGACAGTCCTTTGGCACTGTCATCAACATTCTAAACATTTACTTTGGCTAAACACCTAAACCTTTTTACCTCATCCGATATTTTATCAGATATATGATTTTTGATGGGTCGAGCTTTTAGAAAAAGTTTCAGGTTACTTCTTATTTCAACGTTATCTTTACCGGTTGACATTTCTTAAAACCTTATCTTGAGTTACCGTTGGCATTATGTCAGATCGGCTTGTTTGCCTCCAAATAACTTTTCCTATATACATATCCATATATAATATATTTTATCGATGATGACTGTCTTGATTTACCACAAATAAATTTATAAATTACACTTTCTTGAAGACTTTATTGTCTAGTCGCATCTGATTTGAAAAAAAAAAATTATTGTTTTAACAAGGGAAAGGATTTGGTGTTTTTAAAAGAAAGTATATCTCAATATGAGTCATGTACATCTTGAGATTGTTGATTGCTCGTCAATTTGATGTGTGTTTTGAAGGGAAGTAGTAGTGGGAAACGCGTGCGGCACGTGAGAATTTTGATCTCGCTGAGATAACGGAACTCGGCAAACTTCTTGATGTTCAACGCGATATGGTGACGATTTAGATATCGCGCTCTTCTTTCTTTTTTTTCGCTTATACCAAACGTACAGTGCGATGTATTCTCGATAACGCATTTTTTTTTTTTTAATACCCTCGCCGTATATATACAGGTTCAGAAAATATCGCGCCAAGTGTGTAATTGGCAGATAAATCAGTGTGACGTCATTTCGACACGTGTTACAACTCTTGAAGTTGAATTTTCGGAGCTTAAGAAAGCAGGTTTGCCAAATCTGTTCACATCGTAAATACCTGCGACAGAAGTGCATCAGTGTCAATATATATACGAAATTTTGTTTGCCTTTCAAAATATACAAGACCATATTTCTCTTTGAAAAACTAATTTATCCTGACTTATAAACAAGGTGTCATCTGTCTTCTTAACATCACTCATTCGAAAAGAGATGAGAGAAAAAAAATCCTATTTCGTAAAATGTTGTAAAATTTATAATTATCAAATAGAAAAATAGTTTCTGTGTTTCTTCTTTATAAAAAATTGCATCTTATTGTGAGAATTGCTTTTTTGTTGGTTTCTTAAAATATTCCTCGTTAGAAATGAGAGAGAGAGAGAGATTTCTTATTCAAGTGGATGCTGCTTTTCCAAGTGGCTGCGCTGGTATATAATCCGACGGATCCCGCGCGTTAAAGTCTCCACTCGAGAGATGAATGTAGTGCTCTCAAATTTCCGTGATCAATGTTTATTAGACTATCGTGAAAGTGTTAAAAGGGGGTCCTCTATCAGCTAATTATTTTATGTGATTTCTTAATTTTTATAAAAATATATATAATATTCAAATGAAAAATATTTTTTTCTATATATAAGTTAAATATTTCTGTAAAAGTTTCGATATTAAGGAAGTGTAAAGTAAACTTAAAAAAGATAACAAGATGTAACACCTAGATCAATATTCTTGTTTTTGTGTGTTAATATTAATTAAATTCGAAAAATTAAATTCATTTCTATCGAAATCTTTCCATCTGTGTCAAGTTTCGTATATATATATATATATATATATGTCTAAAGAAAAATTTATTCATCAAAAAAATTAACGTTTTGAAAAAGTATAGAGTAATTTATAAAAAAATTTATTATTCTCAACTATTTTGTGTTTTTCCTTTAAAAAAAATATTTTTTATTAGTGTTTTTCCAAAAAAAAAAAAAATAATACGAAAAAAAATTACTTTTATAGATCTATATGAATGATTTTCATTTATGAATGAAATATTAGAAATTCATTTCATCTTGGATAGAAAAATTTATTTTTAAATATTAGCTATATATTATAACTATATAGTTAAATAAGTTATTCGAAGAAAAAACATCGCCCACATGATGATAATATTTAATTTACTCATCCTCTTTTATTTAAAGCGAATGTTTAGAATATTGACATATGTGTTACTAATACCATATAAAAAGAAAAATTTCCTCTATAGACTTTCTTAATGAAATTTAAATATTTTTATCAAAAATTAAGTAAAAATAATTTATGAACATTATAATTTACTTTTTAAAACACTTCTAAAGCGGAGTGCGGAAAAAATTAATTTAATCGACTCCGCGAAGTACCTACGATTAAAAAAAAATTCGCTTGAAGTCTGATAATTCTTTCGATAGACTCTCGCGTGTCTCTAATCTTCTTCATTGCTGTAAATTTGCATGAGATTTCGTTTAGTTAACGTTATGGAGAGAGGGTCGAGGAGAAAAAAAAGTAAATAAATTTGCTTCGGGGGGGTTTCTTTGGGTATATACTCTTGGGCATATATATATATATATATATATATATATATATATATATATATATATATTATAATGGAACTCCTTTCTAGGAGCGCGAGCGACGTGTCTATGAATGCCAGACGAGTTGACTACGTTAGGTGCCTTTCTGTCAACATAATGCAGTTTATTATCATAAACTATTATTGCAGCACGTGCGATCAAGTGCACGCGTTTGTAGACGCGCTACTTGCTAACTTCCTCTCTTTGCGGTTCTTTTGCCCGTCAAAATATTCCCATCAATTCCGCTTTCGTATATTATATATTATACATACTGCGCGTGAGAACTGTATAATTTCGTATAAAAAAAAAAATTACAATAGGATTTAAAAAAAAAAAATTCTGTTTAACAATTTTAATGAAATAACCATATTTTTATATAAATGATTATTAAATTTAAAAAAATTATATATCTTTATATAAAATTAGAATTTTAAAACAAGACAAATAAAAAAAAAAAAAAATTGTAGAAAAATTCGATCACAATGTGGGTCTTACTGCTTACAAGGTAAACAAAAATTCTATGTTTTATTGATTTATTCAGATATATCTGCATAAATGTCGTGAGTAGTAATTTTCCTTTTTGAATATTTATAAATTTAAATATTCACTTCTTTATTTGACAAATGAGAATAAGCAAATTTTTATACATAGACATATTTAGATTATGGTTTATTAGTTTACTAATCGAATCAATTAATGAACTGTTAGTTATTTATGGACTTGTGTTTTTTATACATAATCATTGATTCATTAAATAATTGATTTATTGTTAATTAATTACTATTTAGAAAGTCTAGAAATTATAGATCTATTTGATAAAAATAATTGAGAGACTATAAAAAAATAGATTTTGATTCAGAAGAAAGTGTTTTTTTTTTTTTTTTTTTTTTTTTTGTCATAGGGCATCAAAATTCACCGCCCACGCAGTTATACCTGGATTACCTGTCGGGTAATATTCGTGCGTCGGTTCGAAATAAGCGCGGGGTCCGTCCAATTTTGGAAGTTACGTTACCCTAAATACCTGTACCCAGTAAGCAGCTTGTTCTTTACGAGCTGGCCACAGTCGGTGGTATATACATATATATATAGTATAAGGCTAGAATATGGGCTATATATACCATGAATATGACTGGCGTATGGCATTAGGTGCTTTTATGTCGACACAATGCCGTTTATTATCATAATCTATTATCACGGCTTACACACGAAACGCGTGCTTTTTCCTTAACGGTGTTGTGCCTCCACTAAAACTCAACTACACACTATTCCCACCTATTTATTGACCATTTATACTGGTTATTCCTATACGCGCAATTTTGCGTACATTAAAATCAAAAACATTATTTACTACCTCTATATAGCTCCATTGCACATGCGGTCAATCATTTTTTACTTGTCTAATATTTACTTTAAACTCTCATTATGGCATAAAGTTATATGTACAAATTAGTTTCATTTCATTTATATATATAT